ATTGATGCAACGCCGCATCAATGATTCTTTTGAAAAAGACATCCCCTATGAAAAGTAATACTATGCTGTTTGGAAATTATTTTTCTGGCGCCTGATAAAGCATTTTTATAGGGTGGATAACTTGAAAAAAAACAGCCATCTGCGCGGTTGCAGATGGCTGTTTTCAATGTTGGGAGGAAAGCTGTTAACACGAGGTTTACCGTATCCATGTTTTCTTTACGGCGATGCCGCCAACAATGCCTAATCCATTTTTTACATTGCAAAAGACGGGCACTGACTCATCAAATATATTATTGCTCCTTTCTGAAGCAGTGGCAGCACTTTTCAGATATTTATAGCTGGTTTCGGTAAGTGCTGTTACCTCCAGCAACACACTGTCTGCAAGACCGTCTATCGTTAATACATAAGGCATATCTATACCGTCGAAGAGGGCATCATTCATAAAGTAGCTTTTATAATAGTCATCTGTGTATATATTATTGTGGTTCGTGGTCGCATTTACACGGAACAGCTCATTCTTCAATGCCAGGTTGTTGTCGAATATATAAAGCCGGAACCGGTAATAATTATGTTCATCCCTGTTGTCATTGAGTGTGACGTTAATTCTCGTTTCGCCCGTATTGCCCACGCCAGGCACCTGTGACAGCTTCAGGTCTGCAATATTTGCTATGCTGGGTACGGCATCACTCCCTTCCAGGTTCTTGCTGCCAACACGGGCTGTTATTTTGTATTCGTTACCATGGGTGGCAGTGATCGTGCTTTTATAAAACTTAAGCCCATTGCGGTTTTCAACTGTCAGCATTTCTTTAAATACACCATTCTCATACAGCTGCAAGTCTGCGCTATCCGGCTCCCGGAAGGTAGTGGACAGACCGGGATTCAGCAACGTGAGCCGGGCATAAATAATACTGTCTTTATTCATCAGGGCATTCAGCACTATTTCATTGTTACTGGCTGGTAAGGAGACATTGGCATCCTTTTCACAGGCAGTAAGGAAAATAAGTATGGAGACGATCAGCAGCCGCGTTTTCATGAGTCCGTTAAAATTTAAGATTGTAAGAGATACTGGGCATTACCGGTAGCAAAGTCAGTTGGGTTA